TTGTTTTAATTTATAATAATTTGAACCTCTGGATTAAAGCTTCTTGATTAATAAGGAACAATTTTTGTCATAGAAGTATTCAAAAATTTTCAACTTTTGATAGTGAAAAAGTTTATTTAGTAATTTTTTTAAAATTTATCTCGTTCTACGCTGAGTGTTCTTATTAGGAACATTTTTCAGCTTACTGTTTTTATTAGGGCCAGCGCTCCTAATAAGAACAAATTCATTTCTTCGTAAATAACCGCTAATTGCTTTTTTATTTTTTGAGATAGTAAAGTGTTTTTTGCATCATTCAATTCAAAAAACAATTCTACACTCAAAAATATAAAAAAAATATGTTTTTTTTTTCATATAAAATTGCTGGATGAAAAAATAAATTCTTCGCACAGTCAAGATAGCTGTTCTTATTAGGAACATTGGCTATATATTTGTAGAAAAAAAACAAGAATCAGTCTCCCAGCAATTATGTATTTCAATAAAATAGAAACCACCTTGAGTATCATCGATTGTTGGAAGAAACGTTAGAGAATCATTTGTTTTTGCCATCATCATCGCTATCTTCACTGTCGCTTCGTTCATCCTTCACCTGCAATAAATCGAAAAGAAAAAATAATAGCAATATCAAGTTTCGTTTTTAAATTCCTTCTCATCCAAGTGAATGAAAATTATCGTTTTCTCTCCTATTCTAACTTCCATGTCCATATATTATCTCATAGTCTCAAATTTAGATGAACATTAGAAGAAGATTGATCATCGTACCTCGCCACTCTTCAATGCATTGATAGCTACTTTACAGATGAAATAGAACCAGAAATAGTGAAGAATATAAAGAACCGACAGTAGTCCATTGAAAACATAATAAGCTGGAGGACATGGTTGAATAATAGATACTCCTTCGAATAACGTCGTGTAGAGTATTCTAAAAGAGAGTGCAAATGATTAATGGAGTGAATGTATAATTTAGTTGACTTACTTATACGGATAATAGCAGATCCTAGTAACAAACCAGACGATGGCAAACATCATAAACATATTGTCACTGATCCGTTTTGATCGTGTGTAGACGCCCATTTTGGCGCCCTATTAAAAAACGCAATCGATTAGACGAGAAAAAAGAAAGATATTTATTTGACAAAATACAAACCTCGAGCCAATAGTCAGCACAGTCATGTATGACAAGTACTAGTGAACCGACACGTACATAATTCGCAATATACGAAAAAGACAAAAGCATTATAGTAGCTACGTGATGAAGAAACATTTGCCAAAAGTCCTATCAAGAAAAAAAAACGCTCAAGAAAATATATTTTCTATTACAAAAAGAAACAACGATTTTGGTACTTATATACCTTTCGTTTAACGTCGACAAATTGTGAAAATAAAAGGGACCAGTAGAAAGCCAGTTCAATCATGTAGTACCAAAAGATGTCTTCTGTGAGAGGTTGATTAGGATAACCTAACCAACAATGACGTGTATCCCAGTTCCATGATTTCTTAAAATAAAAAGAGTTAACAGACATATATACATCTATATGCTTACATTTAGAAGTATGACAACTCCGTAAATGAATACAATTAGATAAAAAGTAAAACGCCAACAGGATTCACTAAATTTAGCTAATGGACTAATACGTGAATAACGAACTGTTGACACTGATGAACCACTATCATTACTGTCTACTTGTTCTCGTTTATATGTTTGATTTGCATCTATTGGTGTAGAATGACTTGATACTGTTGTTGCAGTAGTTTTCATATCTCTTGTTGTATTTCTTTTAACTCTATCTTGAATACCAAGTGATCGACCAATCGGTTTAGCTATATATCTAACAAGTAAAGAAAGTATCGATATAATATGCGAGTTAGAATAATATGGTTTTCTTTTTACCTCTCGAAAACCATTCGTACCACAGAAATTATAGCGGCCAAAGGATAAACATAGAGAAGATCATTTGGATTTGTCAACTTGATATTTTCCTCTCTTTCGATTCGAGCAAAATCCTGCCAAGTTGTATTGCCTGCTAACCAAAATCGCTCGTAAAGAATGAACGACGACAATGTATTCATTTGAAATAGAATAACTTATTTTCTTTTTAGAGAAAAAAATATAACATCATACCAATGTGTCTTATGAAGTCATTATCTAACATGAAGACACACAGAAAGAAAAATAGATAACAGAGATAATAAGCAACATGAATGTCATAAACGTTTTGTCCTTCGTTAATATTATATGTGCAAAAGAAAAAAGAAAACGAAGCGAAGCAATGATAAAGATAGCAAAGGCAAAAAGAAGAATGCAAAAAACGTGAACAGAATATTTATTTATTAGTGTAGTTATCTTCTCTTCTTTTCTATATTCCTAACTTGATATAATGAGGGTTCAATGTCTAAATAAAGGCAGTATGCGTAATTCTTTGTGTTTGAATTTTTGAAGTTCAAGCATTTACGAGATAGACGAGTAGTGGTTCAAGGAAGACACACCTGAGGGTGTGGGTGTGGGTGTGGGTATGTAATAGTTACCACGATACCTTAGTTATTTCGATGTTTCTGACTTAATCTTACCAAGTGGCCTAAGTACCAGTATAATTGGATTCAAAAACTAGTTTAAATCCATATATGATACTTCAAATCTACTAAAAGCAAATTTTTTAGTAGATTCACCTACAGTAAAGTGGGTGTGTAATAGTTACCACGATAATTTAGTTATTTCGATGTTTCTGACTCAATCTTATGAAGTGGCCAAAGTCCTAGTAGAATAGATCCAAAATTTATAAAAATTATGAATCACTGCATAGAACTATATCTACTTATGGGTGTGGGCGTGGGTGTCCGGTGGGGATGTGGGGTGTGGGTGTGGGTGTGTGGTGGGGATGTGGGGTGTGGGGTATGGGTGTGGGGGTCGGTCTCGAACTGTGCCCTTCCTCGTACCCCCCCCGNAATTTCTTTATGATATATTCATTTTATTACTCTCTTGTACTGATCGAACTGTCAAGTTTCCTAAATATAACATGTATGTGAAATTTTGTGAGTTGAATAAATGAATAAAGAATTTATTTATTTATTTTTGTGTTTTAGATGCGTCTATTCTGTTCAAATCTGCTTCGCTTACTTGATATGAAACTAATTTTCATAGGTATATAATCACTGCTTCAGCATACAGAATAACTACATACATGCTGCTGAAGATACGTTATCAACAAATAATTAAAAATTTTTGTGTTCGTTGAACCTTTTCATCATGCCTAAGGTTGTCTAAAAACTAACTCTTAGATAAATAAAATATGTGGAAACTTTGAAAATATATAGTTCAAAGGCTTTTAAGTTGAACAGAGAAAAAGAAAGAGGGTTGTTTTTCGAAAGGCATCCCCACTCAAACTAGAACCTGCTTTCATTTAATTCATTAACAGATGTACTTTTATCTATCATGCCCAAATACGGCACTCATTATGTCAGAAGAAAATATTTATTGCATTATTTTTAAGATCGAACTCCAATTCATCTATTCGATCGTAGGTGATTGTTTTGTTTTTAAGTTTGCAATGAAAATCAGAATATTTGCTATTTCATATATTCTCTTCTCGTCCCATTTTCGTCCTAGGAATATGGATTCTAATGGTTCTGTTGCCTTCTTCAATACTATGTTATAGGACGATCACGATACCAGACAAAGATGTTCTGTATTTATACGAACGATTACAAACTACAGAGCGGATGAGTGCAACTGATGCATTAAATACAATTATTGAATTAGAAAACTACTATACTGGTGTGAAAAATAGTCTCATTGGTGAACCATCGGAAATGGTTGATAAAGCATGGCATGCACATATATTAAATACACCAATGTATTTCAGTTTTTGTGAATCAAGCTTTGGTTATTATTTACATCATGTACCCTATTGGACAGCTGGTAGTGAGAATCAACAAATGCAGGCCATAGTTTCGTCTTCAGAGTTTCAAATACCAATGTATACGAAACTAAAGAACTTAGGAATTCAACATTTAAATGAAACCGTGTGGACACATAGAACCACTGAATTGAATCATAATATTGAGAAAAAGGATGAACTATGAGACTTGTGATAAGTGATTATACGTTAAGAATCTTCTTATCAAATACATCATTAAAAATGGCTCTAAACTTTTATTATTAATTAGAAAGACAAAAGCAATGTTATCATATAAGCTATGATGATTGCAATTTAAAACGAAAGATACCAGGCGTGTTGAGAGCTACAATTATCAATAGAACTAGCTTTAAACTCGATGGCCGATCTGCGACTGAGGTTTCTACTATTTGACAACGAAAGTAATGAGATGCGGCAAGCTAAAAAGATCAAAAACCAACTTTTAACTGTCGCGATAGGGTTTCGCATCTGTGCCTGTGATGCCCACTAACAAAAGACATTTTGATGAAGTTGTGACAATCAAATATGAACTTTCCTCTAGTTGAACCTGATGTAAGCATCGACTCTAGTAGTCAGAAATAAAAGTGACATTTACTGAACTCGAATGATGAAAAATTTTTCCTTGTGAACACTGAACAGATGTGTCACTCAGTTTGCCAATTTCAAACAAGACAGTCATCATCTGCTAAGCTGTAATCATGAAGTAATCAAGTTCACCATGATGGACGTGATTTCGCAGCCCTTTATGCAACGAGAGAGGCGAGGTCAGGTGTCCTCTGACGATAAAGTAAAAAGTTTTGTTTCACTCGGCGTGGCTATCAATCAGAAACAAGACAACGACATGAACAGTGCTCTAATGATGAAAAACTGGTGTACGAGTGTGGCTGAAGAAAAGATTCATATATGCAACCACAGTCTCAAGAGAAAATCACTTGGTGAATACATGGTATATGAAACCATGTCTGTATAAGTTAAATCTAATCCAATACTACCTAGTCATTTGAACATATTTGACGGTTGTAATGAAACAAATTCTAATTCATATCGAATTGAAATTGGTGATCAATTAGAAATTATATAAGAATTTGATTTTGATATTCTACGAAGAAAAGTCTCCGAGCGTAGGCTTCCATTTTTGATCGGCTTTACGTCATTTTATAGAAATCAATGAGCTGCTCTTGATGGTATAATGCGTTCTTCTTCATAGACTCTATTCGAAGAATTAGATTGATCTCAACTTCAGGAAAATAATTGTAAATTGTTATTTCGGAAATTTTAAGTTACAAATTAGTTTACTATTCACGATTGAAAATTTTAATACTGAATGTGTCTTTATTAACTGCACTAAGTACAAAACTCAATTATTCGTTTTTTAAAACTGATCATGATTCTCTGGAAAATGCTTTTTAAATATGTAGTAAATATATCCCGTTTTCAATACTCTGTATTCGATCTAATTATAATTGAATGCGTGGTTGTATCGATGGATCTTCACTTTATCCATCCTGACATCCATATGTACAACCATCTAATTTCAGAAATTAGTAAATAAATTCAGTATTCACTAAGTACTCCCATATAATAATTTATTATTTTTCAAAGTTACTGGGATTCCTATCTACTAAGGATAAATATATCATACTATTTTGTTGGAAGTAAATGAGATTCAAATCCTCAATTCATATGAATTTTAAGAAATCACTGGAAAATTTCCAGAATTAGTGAAAATTCTTATATTTTCAGGAATCGGTCTATAAAGACTTATAGCTTCATTTATAAGTTTCAATGTTAAAGAAATTTTTATAATTTACTTAGAATTTCTTTCCTATGAATTCGTAATAACTATAGTTTCCTAGCAATGATCTACTTCTGTGTTAGCAATTTTAAAAATTGCCTTTCTCGCAAAATGGAACACTTTTACAAATACTTGATTTCAACGATTTTCCAATTCATCCATCATTCAATTTCATACTTTTTCAACTGCTAAAATTTGTCATCAACACACTATTCTTTACCAATGTATCACATTATATTTCTATTTATTCGGTAAATTAAAAAATAGAAGTGATAGAGAAAAGAATTGATGTTCATGTATCAGTTGAATTCAATGATGACTCCCACATGTCTGGGCATGATAGTCAATACTTGAATATATCCGCCTGCATTGACTTCAGGGCCACAATCACCGAATATTACTTGTTGCAGCATGCGAGCTAGAATTACTTTGAGTTCAAATCGAGCCAAATCTTGTCCAAGACATACACGATGACCACCTCCAAATGGTAGAAATGCATATGGATGATAATTTTTATCTTCATTAAGAAATCTTTCTGGATAGAACAAATCAGGATCGATTTTTCAATGACGAGTATCTCGAGCAAGAGCAGATGTTGGAAGAAGCACTTGATTACCTTTGTACAGTTGAGTACCGTTTTTGGATAAATAGTTGTCAATGATCAATGTACGACTTGTTCCATCAATTGTTGGAGAAAAACGAAGTACTTCATTGATAAAGCAATCCAAATATATAAGTGAGTCGAGACGGTCCGATGATAAATATTCACTACAGTAATACTCCATCAGCTCTCCCTTGATCTTCTTTGTTGGACTTGTGGATGTTTACTTAGCTGATAAATAGATCATACAAGAGCAGTAGACGTCATTTTCATAGCCAGCAATCATAAACATGAGCATCTCATCAAAAAATTCCTTTCCTGATAAACCTGTTCACAGAAGAACGTTAGAAGTAAAAGAACAAAACTTCAAGATAAACTATAGTCATAGTTCAATTCGAAAACATATTCTATGAAGTCGATTCTTAAATTACGCAAGTATGGGAAAAATTACATAAAATGTATTGATGAAGACGACATTTTTTTATTCATATTTGTTAGATAAAATTCAATCTGACTCGTTGAAAACGATTGATCATTTCTATGTTCTCTTCGGTCTTCGCGGTTAAGGTATTTCGAATGAGTTGGCCTGTTTTATATGTCGAATTGTATACATAGTGTAGTTTGATCTAATAAACTGCAAATAAATACATAAAAACTCTTGTATCAAGCTAATAACAACGTAGTTTTCAATACTCAGTTTACCGACGTTAATATAAATCGAAAACAATACTGCAAACAAGAAGCTTCAACTTTTTTATTA